TTATTGTGAACAGGTGTTTTGGAAAGTTGATTCTGTTCATCGACTTTTGGAGCTGACTGTACATCCTTACATTCTTACAAACTTTCACATATATAATATTCTTAGGATATTAGGATTTAGGCTATAAGGATTCGAGTAATAATCTCCGGCCACCGTAAGCGCGGGTCTGCGGACGGCGAGTAAGGATAGCTCGCTGCCCGACCAGAACCAGACCCGAGCGTACGGCGCGTAGCGTTCCGCGCGCGCCTCAAAGATTCAATAGACAGACGGGGCCTTATAGGGCTGATGTTCAGCCGGGGTTGCGGGGTAAGCGCAATGAGGCACCGCGACCTGGGCCTAGAGCGGGAGAAGGAACGGGAGGGTTTTTAGTCAGTAAGAGTCTGACACTGTATCTCGCCTTACCCTGGGCGGGAGAAGTCATTAGATGATGATCCCCTGACAAAAAAAGGCTATTAGGATATTAGAATTTAGAATTAGGATATTAGGTTTAAGATATTAGGATTAGGATTAGTATAAAGGTCCATAAATAGGTTCTTTTGAAACATCAAAATAGAATAATAGTCAGTCAGTCTGTTCCTCAGTGAAGCTAGTTGCTTGTTCCAAATTGTAGATTCGAATGGAGAAGAACGAGCAAGAAAATCCTTGGTAACTCTTTTTAAAATTTATATAAGATAATATATTAGGATATAAGTAAGATTTATCAAGTTGAAAAAATTATAATTAACTTACTTTGTTGGTGGGAACAGCGTGACCGCAGCAAGTACACTAGTTACAGCTGCCACCCGTTCTCCCCGGGTCATCCATCCATTCTTTCCGCCTCCAGCATACTGCCACATGTCCTCCGGGGCCGGTGACTCTTGTTCCACATCCGCACTGTCTTCACGGAACAGGAGACCACTTTCAAGTATCAGGATTATGTTTTCTCTACTGTATAGGAGCTGTGAACCAAAAACAATGCCTTATAAACCTTTTTGAAGCAATTTTATATAAGGTAGAAAATCTTATGTAAGGACAATAAGGCCCAGTCCCACAAGTAAATACTTAAGAGATATTTTTATGGATTTAGTAGTCATGCAGCTTCGCAGGTCTTCAAAGTCAAATTGTTTATTTAAAATAGATCACAACATAGGCTTTTTTAAATGTTAAACAACAATAAAATTATATTGGAAAGTTCAACTAGTGTGTGTCAGTCCGTCAGTCTGCCCTCTAGTAAAGCTGTTTGCTCATTAAATCGTTCAAACAGACCAATGAAAGAACTTAGAATGTTAAATAATTATTAATTAAAAATCAATACTTGGAAATTGATGGTCTGTCCTCTAGTGAGGTACAGTACACCCAACATATCTTGGCGAGTCTAAAGTTAGCCGTTTGTCTGCGCAATGGATCTTTTAGGAAGAAAATTGTGTACTGCGCAGCTAATCGGCTAACTTTAGAGTCGCCAAGATATGTTGATGGTATTGTATTTGCTAGTTTCTAAGTGTATTCCTGATTCCTATGAAGACGAATGAGCAACAAAGTCCATGGTTACTGCTTTTCAATTAGTTTTACAATGCATACCTCAGAAAAATACCTAAATACTTACATCGCAAGTTTAAGCTTGTACAAAATGGAGAGTCATGGTTTTAAATCGACAGTAGTAGGCACTGATGTGCATAAAAATGTAACATTCACTTTTTACTACTTCTTTCATGAGTTATAGGGTCTAAGCCATTAGATAAAATTTACATTTTTACTATAATAATTAAGGTTTAGTTTCGACAACTTAAACTTACCATATTAGGCCTAAATTTAACTGCAAACCACCTCCTAGAGAGAAGGGGAGGTGTAAAATCTTGTTTCATAAACAATGCCATCTGAAATTAACCAATAATTAAATGTTTAATGTTAAAAAACACAAAAATCATTACCGGTGATAGGTTACTCATATTTCTCACAATTATCATTAAAACATCGAGGGTAAGATTTGCTACAAAAGAATTAATAAATAAACTTACGTTTCTTAATGAATTCCGCACTATATCTAATTATATAATTGTTGTAATGTTTGTATTTTTACATTTTCCTGGAAGATCGGAAATCTTCGAAATATTTTGACATTTCGTTATGACAATACCACTGAGGTTTGTAAAGATCGTTAGTACAAACCAAAAATTTCGTATTTTTTTACATTTTAAGTATTGTACCTACATACAAATCCGTCAGTTTTCGGGTAACTTACAATTGAAACGACTTAACGATATATATCTATTTGAAGAAGTAATTCTTTCCTGTTATAAATATCTATTTCTGTATATTATACTCTGTATAAATGCATGATCTAGCACTAACTTCATAAACAAAGTATATGTCAAACAAATCGGCCGCAAGTTTTAAATTGTATTCGGTTGCCATTCAGGAAAACTAAAATAAGGTTGTACTAAACTATGAGATTACAGTCTCTCAGCCCATTTTATTGTCGGTATCAATTACTGTTAAGATCTGGGTTGTTACTTTCTTTCTAACACTCCGTAATTGCTACAAATAAATTTAGTCGTTAACGTGTAAGCTTAGAGTAAAGTCGTTGTATCGTCGAATCCATGACATCAAAAATTAATATAGACTGGTCAAAGAGTTTGACGATGGGGTACCTACGTTATCTTTCTCCATACTAGAATTTTGTAAAAAAAACATAGTTAACAAAGATATTATCATAAAAAAGTAACCAAGTAGGTAAGTTGATACAAAGAGACTATATAGGTCTCGGTTAGATCTAAGTGTAGAAGTTGATATATAGTCGTTAAAAATATAACAAAATTGGCTAGAATATTCAGTGCGTAGTACTTAATTACTTCAATGAAATCATCCAAAAAACCAGTAACTTAGTAAAAATTAAGTTTGTAATTAAGTAATTTTCGTCTGGGATTACCTACCTGATGTGTTAAACAATCGGCGCCGCACATGGACACTCGCTACACCAAAGGAGTTGCAAGCGCTTTCCCGCTATTTGAGAGGGGGATGGGAGTAGGTAAAATAATTATTATTACATTATTTTACAAACCAATTACAACGGGTAACAGTAGACATGGTCAAGTATTTCAACTTCATAGAAACGGCCGAAACGCGAACTATACCTACGCGCCCGATGTCGGGACGCGCTCGGGACGCAGACAGACGCGGTTGTACCGCAGTGACGAACGGACGGTGTGTTGTCTTTTATTTAGAAATCAGCTCGAGTACATTATTTAATATGACGAATAGGAAATATTGTGCTGTGGTTGGTTGCATGAATTTATTTTAAAAATTATTAATATTATTAATATAATAATATTACTTAATATTATTTATTTTAAAAAACTTGCAGGGACGGTATGAGTAAACGGTGTGTTCGATATTTTTGTTTTTTGTTTGGGACAAGCCCGACACAACCACGACCTGTCAAAACTGACTATAGGTAGATTTAAGTAACTGTGAAAACACCGGAACACTGAAGTCCGCCGCGTCCCAGGGACATGAATGACTGTCTTGGATCCCGCAACGAAATAAATCAGAAGATATTATTTGAGGAGATAAAAAAACTAAAAGAGGAGATGCATCCGCGGACCTCGTCCTCCCTGGAAAGGCCACGTAGAACACCCCAGTTAGCCTATGTAAGAAAACCGGCGTGAAACAACCACTGCGTTGTGTTTCGCCGTGTGAGCGAGGTTACCGGAGGCCCAATCCTTCCCCTTCCCGGACCCTTCCCCAATCCCTAAATCTCCAAATCCCTAATCCCTAAAAGGTCGGCAACGCACTCGTAACTCCTCCGTTGCGGGTGTCCATGGGCGGCGTTGATTGCTTACCATCAGGTAATCCGTCTGCTCGTTTGCCGACTTACTTACTTGGTTAGAGGACATCGTTCCCCGACCTTCGTCCCCGGACTTGGTCGTGTAATTATGTTATGATATGGTTTATTTGGAAGAAGTAATTTGGACTTTGATGGATACCTACAGAAACTTACCAAATTCTTACTTGCGATTTCATCCGCTGAAATTGCTGGGCAGTCATGTAAAAATGTTAAGTAATAATAAAAATAAAAAACCAAGTGATGGGTAATAAAAAATGATTTTATTTAAATCTAATTTAAGTACAAAATGCATTGACAAAGGAATGGATTTACCGTCGCATTTTAGGGGGTAAATAAAATTATGACACAAATTGTGTTTACGTAAATAATTATAGTCTATTTCATATAGGAAGTTAAGTCTGGGAGAGTCAAACTTTGGCGCGAATGGGACAGCTCGACCGGCGTGAAACACAACCACAGCGTTGTGTTTCGCCGTGTGAGTGAGGTTACCAGAGGCCCAATCCCTCTATCCAAGTCCCTAGAAGTCACGATTTAGTAAATTTTATACTAAGCGGTGATGTAGCTAGCTCCTCCTAAACTATTTTTTCTTTGATCAGCAAACGAGCAGACGGATTACCTGGTGGTAAGCAATCAGCGCCGCCCATGGACACCCGCAATAACGGAGTAGTTACGAGTGCGTTGCAGACCTTTTGGGGGTTAGGGATTTTGAGAATTTGGGATTGGGGAGGGGAAGGATTGGGCTGTTTACCTTACTCACACGGCGAAACACAACGCTCTTTGAGGCCGTGGTATTACTCGGGTCGAGCCGATCCATGCCTGTCGAAGCTTGGCTCTCCCACACTTAAACTTTATCAAGCTTTGTTTTGTTATAAGATAAAATGAAAAAATACGTTTCTTATATTTTTTTCACTATCTAATAAATTGACGGATATAAAAACATTTTTAATGTATTATCTTTCCTATTTAATTTTAATAATTGACTTTTAATATTGGACTAAGTTTGTATATTGATATTTTAAATAAAGAATACTTTAATATTGTGACTCTGTCGGAGCTCGAAACTATTCGGGTTAGCTCGAAAACTTTCGAGCGAGTCCGAGAAATATTTTTTTTTCATTAGATAGGCGACTGGCGGATCCTCAAACCGTAACCAATCATGGGTTCGATTCCCATACAAAACAACTCTTTGTGTGATCAAGAAACTGTTGTTCCGGGTCTGGGTGTGATGTGTATATGAATTTATATGTTTGTAAACGCACCCACGACATAAGAGAATATCCTAGCGTATGGCCAATAATAATAATATTTCTATCTTCTTAATGTAACTGCTCAAGTTTACCGCTGCCATAGACACAATAGTAATCAACAAATCATAACTTAGCTTTATTGTCCATTCCTTCCAAACCATAGAGAAGAAACTGGCTGACATAGACAGCAACTCTATCGGGATTCGAAATATGAACGTCATGGCCTCCTGCCACAGATCTAAAACGTAAGTTGCCTGACGGATATTCAGCCTCGTCGAGCAAAAAGGCCGTGTTTCGAAAGAGTTTCTTATCCAAGGAGTTTTTACACGCGACCGTTAGAATTGGCGTGTCGTGATTCGTGAATAATTTCTTCACATGTTCAGGCGAGAAGGCTGGAAAGTGCATGCATTTGATGCGTAAATCGTATGTGTATCTGTAAAAAATAATAATTTTATAATAATATAAAGGTGGTCTGGTCTTTACCGATATGACTTTTGCCGAGTTGTTTAATTCTAAACTATACGGTGAAGGAAAACGTCGTGAGGAAACCTGGACTTACAATTTCTAATTATAAGTTTGAAATCGAAAATCTGCCTTAGGCAAGCGTGGTGGTTAATGCGCAAACTGTAGGATAAAGAGGGCAGCAGTGGGCTTTTATAGGCTGATCTAAAACTACGCAACGGATTTTGATGCGCTTTTTTAACTAGGTTTGTAGATTGATTGAAAAGGAAGGTTTATATGGATAAATAACATCCATTAAATAGTTTTTTTTTTTATCTGTTAGGTCGGCAAACGAGCAGACGGATTACCTGATGGTAAGCAATCAACGCCGCCCATAGACATCCGCAACGGAGCAGTTACGAGTGCGTTGCCGACCATTTAGGGATTAAGGATTTGGAGATTTAAGGATTGAGGAGGGATTGGGGGCGGGGAAGGATTGGGCCTCTGGTAACCTCACTCACACGGCGAAACACAACGCTGTGGTTGTTTCACGTCGGTTTTCTGTGAGGCCGTGGTATCACTCCGGTCGACCCGACCCATTCGTGCCGAAGCATGGCTCTCCCACACTTAAAACTAGTAGAGATATTTAGTATCAGCATTGTCCCGTGCGAAGCTGGGGAGGTTCGATAGTATATGTATAATTCTATGGTTCACATTATCATCACACGTATAAGTGCGTATAAGTGTCCACTGCTGAGTAAATTCTCCTCTCACACGGACATGGTTTGAGCATTAACCGCCACGCTTGCTTAAGGCGGATTGGCGATTTCAAACTCATAATTCGAAATGGTAAGTACAAGTCTCTTTACGTTGTTTTCCTAAATACTTAGTAATTGTAAAGTACATATAAGTCAGAAAAAAGAACCCATGCCCTCCCTCATGCATGAGAAGCATTTATTTTTAATTTCATGGCTATATACCTGATATATCCATCTCCGGCTGGCTCCGAAAGTCTTTCGAGAACTGCGATAGCATTCTCTTCACTCAAACTCGGACGGTTACTTCTTAAAGATTGTAACGCCTGTTGACAATATACAAAGACGAAATAGAGAATCAATTTGGACAAAGAAGTATAATAAAGACTATTTTTGAATAGCAACTATCGTGACACATATTGAATTGATTGAAAATATCGACTTTCTCAAGTGAATTAACTTAGAAAAGCTCGACTAGTTTCAAGTCACAACGGGACTCTTAATCATGAGCAGCGTGCGCGTCACGAATACCTAATGACTTGTTACTTTTTTTTATGGTATAAGTCGGCAAACGAGCAGACGGATTACGGACGGGTAAACAATCGGCGCCGCCAATGGACACCCGCAACACCAAAGGAGTTACGAGTGTGTTGCCTTTTGGGGATAGGGTTGCGGATATAAGGATCGGGAAGGGATAGGGGAAGGGGCGGGATTGGGCCTTCGGTAACCTCATTCACACGGCGAAACACAACGCTGTGGTTGCTTCACGCCGGTATTCTGTGAGACCGTGGTATCACTCCGGTCGAGCTGATCCATTTGTGCCGAAGTCTCCCACACTTAAACAAAAACTTAAACTACTAGGGCTTTTCTCATTGAATTCGTCAATCCTCCTGAGTAAGTAATCATTTCCAGAAACCGGTAACTTAGGGTAAGGCAAGAGAGAGTGGACTATTATTACTGACTAAAAACACCCCTGTTCCTTCTCCTGCTCTGGGTCGAGGCCGCTGTGCCTCATCGCGCTTACCCCGCAACCCCGGCTGAACATCAGCCCTGTTGGGCCCCGTCTGTAGTGGTCTATTGGCTCTTTGAGGCGCGCGCGGAACGCTACGCGCCTTACGCTCGGGCCTGGTTCTGGTCGGGCGGCGAGCTACCCTTACTCGCCGACCGCAGACCCGCGCTTAGGAACCCATGAGAGAGATGGCCTAGACTTTCGGCCTAGGACTATCTCTTTCCTCATAGATGATTGGGGTCATGAGAGAGATAAACATATACTACTAAAACTTTGTTTCTCTCTTTCTCTCGAAGAGCCACAATACAATACTTTTATCCAAATGTCAAAAACTATACTTTTCTATGCAATTTGTATGAAAAACTGAGTTATGGCGTCATAATATTTTTGCGTTAAATAGCTTACTTATTTCTTAATAATTAGCTACAAAATATCTAAAATTGAGTGTATCAATCGATTGATGAATAAAAGTATAGTTATTTTTCAATATTTTATTTATTTATTTTTTTTTTTCAACTAAACCATAAATCGGTACTTTTGAAACGTCAAAATATAAAAGTAGTCTGTCAGTCTGTTCGTCAGTGAAGCTAGGTGCTCATTCCAAATTGTAGATTCGAATGGAGAAGAACGAGCAAGAAACTCCATTCGTTACTCTTTTTTTTAAAAAATTGTTTTACAATTTCAATAATATAACATTTATAGTATACATTAGTGTACCCTTATGTGAGAACAATGCAGAGACAAGTAGTTAAAAAAAAGAGCAAATGAGGGGACCTATCATAAAATTTTACTCCTTTGTCGTCTCGAACATGGCGCTCACATATGCGTACTCACAATCTTTAAGAGTGCTTCTATATAAACTTTTTGGATATATAAATTAAGGATGCATTATTTTTGAGAATTTTACCTAACTGCTGACTATATTTGAGTATTGTCCAGTGGAGCCGAATCAACATGCTGCCAGGCATTCTTATCCTCAATATAATCTGAAAGTTTGTAGTATGCCTGTCTACACAATTCATTTAATATAAGTTTTAAATTTTCGTTCGTTAAGATTCAATACAGTACTTGGAATTTTATTGTAACAATTTACACAGAACCCCATAAAGGATATCTGTACCTTGGACAGACGGAATCGTGGCACAGCCAGCCTATCTTTGCCTCTTGTATTAAAATTATGTCTATCGCTTCTTTTTTCAAATAATTGCAAATTTTTCCTTACATACATAATATTTTCATATATAAACTGACGTCAGGATATTTATCGTTTTAAATAGTTCTCTCAGAGATTCGCGACGGGGCAAGTTATATATCGCTCGGATAGCCCGCTTTTGTAGAATAAATATTGATTCTACTTCCGCAGCTCGACCCCATAGCAAAATTCCGTATGACATAATGCTGTGAAAATAGCTAAAATAGACAAGCCTTGCTGTGTTCACGTCTGTGAGCTGTCTTATCTGTCTAACTGCAAAAACAGCAGAGCTTAGTCTCCCCGAAAGCGTCTTTATGTGGGAACCCCATTGAAGTCTATTGTCTAGTGTGATACCTAGAAACACTGTCTCGTTGACAAATTCTAACTTTTGCCCATTTAAAATTATGCTACAATCATTACTGTGTACGTTGGGCAAGCTAAATTTAATACATTTTGTTTTTTTCTCGTTAAGTGCTAAATTATTGACTGTAAACCAATTATGAACTTGATGAATGGAGCTGTTTACTTCGTCAAAATTATTAGAACGTCGACCTATTTTAAAAATTAATGATGTATCATCAGCAAACAGCACCATACTTGGCTCAGCTTTAAATTAAAATGGCAAGTCATTAACATACACTAAAAAGAGAAACGGACCCAATATTGAACCCTGTGGAACGCCCATTCTTATCTCAGAGCCCTGTGAGTTATAACCATCTACATGAACTCTTAGCTGCCTATCCTCTAAATATGATTTTAGTAGACAGAGTGCAGTATGTCTAATCCCGTAATGATCTAATTTCAGCAAAAGTGTTTCATGATCAACGCAATCGAACGCTTTTGAGAGGTCGCAAAAGACACCAACAGCATCCTGTGCTTCCTCCCAAGCACCGAGTACTTCCTTTATCAACGTGACACCGGCGTCAGTTGTACAACGACCAGTGAAACCGTAATGTTGGTGATGGAAGATGGCATGTTTATCAAAGTGATGAAGCATCCGAGATAGCATTAACTTTTCGAACACTTTGCTAAGAACCGGCAGAACAGACACAGGCCTATAGTTGTTTGGTTCCTTAGTGTCACCATTTTTGAAAAATGGAATAACTTTACTGTATTTCATTAGGTTTGGGAAGACACCGTCATCTATACTTTTATTGAAAATCAAAACCAGATACGGCGCTAAAGTTCGGATAAGTGATCCGCAGACTTACACGCATAGTCCCCAAAGGTCCTCAGTTGATTTGACCTTGATTTCTTTAAAAACCTTTATTATCTCTAAAGGATTAGTATAATGAAAACTAAAGTCGCATTCGCATGATTTAACAGCCGTTGTTTTGACAGGTATATTAGCAAAAAAAGTCTCAAACTCCTGAGCTACATCTGTGCTTGACGAAATCTGTCCCCTCTCTGTGTTTAAACAAAAAGCCGAATGTTTTAATTTATTCCTACCTGTCTCATTCTGTATTATTTTCCACGTAGCCTTTATCTTATCTTCAGCTGATTTTATTGTATTGAATATTGTATTGAAACGTCGAATTAATTTATTTTTGACCTAGGAAACTACCCAATTCTCATATCTATCATGTCCATAAGTATAATATATCAACAAAAGGTACTAACCTCAGTCCATTTAACTCTCGGTCCATTTTCCACAGGCGTATTGAACTTTTCGTAGTTCTTATAAAAGTTTGTGAAACGGGAATGGTACCTGAAAAAAAACATCGTTTTTTCTATACTAATATAGAGGTATTTGTAAGTTTGTATGTAGGGGGTAATCTTTGCAACCGCCGGTCGGATTTCCAAAATTCACTGATAGGTAGCTAAAATGTTCCTGAGTGCTATAGGCTATAAATCATCACGCTACGATCAAATGGAGCCGAGTAGCAGGTGCAACCGCGCGAGAGAAGCTAGTATATCTATAACGACAAAAATGTCAGTTGTGTCGTAATGTGTTTTTTAATACGTACCATTTACCGAAATCCTGTGGTGGAGTCGCGAAGAAATTGATCGGATCCAAGTTCACCAATTTGTTCAATCTCCCTGGATAGAGAATGTTGAACATCTGACCTGAAATTGTTTTAAAGTCAAAGTCAAAATATATCATCATCATCATCATCAGCCTATAAGTGCCCACTGCTGAGCAAAGAGCCTCTTATCACACGGAGAAGGTTTGAGCACTAGTCACCACGCTTTCTCAATGCGAGTGTGCGATTTCAAACTTATAATTAGAAATTTTAAGTCCAGGTTTCCTCACGATGTTTACCTTCACCGTATGTCAGTGGTGTCTAAATAATCATAGAAAGTAGATACATATAACTCGGAAAAAGTCACATTGGTACTTGCCAGGTTTCGAACCCACACCCTCATGCATGAGAAGTGGGCGTCTTAACCTCCGGGCTACCACTACTAGCAAAAGTCAAAATCATAAAAAGAAACTAGGATAATAAACAGTCTGGAGCTGACCAGTCCCAATTGACGGCACCCGTTCACGAACATGACACGTACACCAGCATCGCTCAACTCAACCATTTTATAGGGTTTTTTTATGTAATAGATCGGCAAACGAGCAGACGGATTACCTGATGGTAAGTAATCAGCGCCGCCCATGGACACCCGCAATGGAGGAGTTACGAGTGCGTTGCCGACTTTTTAGGGATTAGGGATTTGGAGATTTAGGGATTGAGGAGAGATTGGGGGAGGGGAAGGATTGGGCCTCCGGTAACCTCGCTCACACGGCGAAACACAACGCTGTGGTTGTTTCACGCCGGTCTTCTGTGAGGTCGTGGTATCATTCCGGTCGAGCCGACCCATTCCTATTTTTAATTGAGCGATCCAGTGACCGTGCCACCGCCAATGTGGTCACATTGAGTGAGCATAACAACTCCAAGCTGACATAAGTATCGACATTCTATTGCTAGTCTAACACCCGGTTTCTGAAAGGCTTGTCAACGCTAAAATTAAATAATCTCCTGTTAAATCTCTTGTCAAGTCATCTGATTGGTTGTTGATAATTCAGTCAACCAATCAGATGACTTGAGAAGAGATTAAATTGATTTTAACATTGATCGGCCTTTCGGAAACCGAACGGGGGGTTTGTCTGTTAAAAAAGAACTGACATAGGTTGAGGGAATCAACTCTTACACAGTACAAAAGCTGGTCACTAAGCCACTGCGCCAACCGTGATATTAAAACATTATTTATAAAATGTAACAATAACTTTGATGAGATGTGACAGGTATCCAATTCAGAGGTACAAAGTGCCTCTCAACAATTAAAATAATCTTGATAAAGTGTAAAATCGACATCCAGGCGGGCGGAGCCACAGACGGGGCCCTATAGGGCTGATGTTCAGCCGGTGTTGCGGGGTAAGCGCAATGAGGCACCGCGACCTCGGCCCAAAGCAGGAGAAGGAACAGGGGGGTTTTTAGTCAGTAAGTGTCTAACACTCCCTCCCGCCCGGCCCTGGGAGGGAGAAGTCATTTGATGATTTTCCCCTCACAAAAAAAAAGGCGGGCGGAGCCGGGGGCGACCGCTAGTCTTCCATGTATATAAAAATCATTGTGACTTTTCGTTGTAATGTTATAATTCAACAATACCTTTACCGATTTGACTGATTTTGTTCTTAAATTATTCGTGGAAGTCCACAGAAGATTTATACGTAGAGAAAAATAAAAAAAAAATCTTGAAAAAGTGTAAAATCGACATCCACGCTACCGAGTGCTAGTATTATATACATATATGTGAAAGTTTGCGAGAATGTATAGATGTGTGTTTCTTATTCTTAAACGCAAAAACTGCTAGACAGATTTGGTTGAAATTTGGTTTGTAGACAGGTAAGACCCTGTATTAAGACCTACGTGGGCGAAAGAGCGAAAATCTGGTAGCTTGTATTTAAAAACGAAAGTTTTATGAATGCTAAAAATAGATGGATGCTTGTAACGCTTTAACGTAAATAAATTTAAAATTTAAAAAACCCCCAACAAAGATCCTGATATTCATTTAAAAAGTAATAATTAAAAAAAACGTACGGCTTTGGAGGACCGCTACTACATATTCCTATTTTGTCGGGGGTCTAATTTTTTTTTTATGATATAAAATACCTATAAAGAGTTTTTTACTCTCTCTCGATTAAGTCATCAACATTCCCTTTCAGTGCGCTTTCATTTGAGACCCCACTCTTATTGCGTTGGGGGTTAAAAACTGCTGAACAGAGGCCCTACAATGGCGTGTTAAAACGTGTATATTTCAGGCGAGAAAGAGGGATGGAGCTATACACTTTTTATAGCTCCATCCCTCTTTCTCACCCGGAAGATTCACGCCATGCTTTCAGGCCTACAGATTTTAATGTTATTTGGCACAGTTTTTTCTGTTTTTATTTTATAAAAACGTTGCCCCACATTAGGATTTTCTCCTGTGTCGTAGGTGCGGTTACAAACATACAATTTCACTTACACATGACACCCAGACCCGGAACAACTATTTGTGGATCACACAAAGAGTTGTTCCGTGCGGGAATCGAACCCGCGACACGTTGCACGGCAGCCAGTTGCCCAGCCACCGCACCAACCGTGCAGTCAGTCACAGTGATACTAGATTAGTCTAAAATACCATATATACTTAACTCTGGCATTGAGAGCAAAACTGCTTATAGAATAGTATAAAAAAAAATTAAACATTTTACCTAGAAAAGCTCCAAATGAATGTCCAATGAAGGTAAACTTCTTCCACCTAAAGTGTTTAGCTACGGCATTGATAGCGTACGCCATATCCGTGACGCTTATCATCAGGCCTGGTAGCATCCTGTCCGATTTGCCATTCCCTGGCAGATCCACACCTAGGATTAAAGAAAAAAATAATTGCTAAATTGTTTTCATACACATTCTTGACTTATAGGGTGCCTATTTTTTTGTATGGTCGGCAAACGAGCAGACGGATTACCTGATGGTAAGCAATCAGCGCCGCCCATGGTCAGTAGTAACAAATAAGGAGTTACGAGTGCGTTGCCGACCTTTTAGGGATTAGGGATTTGGAGATTTATGGATTGGCGGAAGGGAAGTGTTGGTAAATCTAAAATCAAGGTGATTCAAATACTTGTTTGTGTTAAAGCTACAAAAATGCCAAAACTAAACTTAGAATTAAATCAATAATAGATCTCATATTTAATTTTAGAAAAAGCGATGTAGTTATAAGCGGTTACAATTTATTTTTGACAGAGAAAAACAATTATTGTATGGCGAGAAAAAAGAAACAGTCAGTGAGGTTGACTTGTGAGTCGCGTCAAAGATCAATTTTTGTGTAGGTAAGTACCTACTTCTTAATGTGATAAAAAAACTTGTTAAGTTCATCGACCTGAATGCACCGGCAGGTTTATACGTATTCTAGTAATACAGCAAAAACAAATATCTATTACTAGCTTTTGCCCGCGACTTCGTTCGCGTGGACTTCAGGTTCGTCCCGTCTAGTCTAGTAATAAGTAAGAAAAACGGTAACTAAGCACTGCAGAGCCCTAATCATAGGTCTATAGGTAGCTACTGCAGTATCCTCTTATAAACTACATTTAACGATCTTTTTCCTTCAGCATAAACATGCAGATTCTTGGCTTTGGAAACGTAAGCGCAAAAATGTGTTTTTTTACGACCTCACATTAGAAACCTCAAAAATTGTAGCCTATGTGTTATTCTGATGTATACGCTATATTGTGATAAAGTTTCATTCAAATCCATTCAGTAGTTTTTACGTGAAAGAGTAATAAACATCCATACATCCATACTTACAAACTTTCGCTTTTACAATAGTAGTAGGATTACATTTCTTACCATCTGAAACTAAATAAAGACTTTTTAAGAAAAACGTTGCCTCACTCTAGTTATCTCTGTGACGCCATAATATCATTCCGGTCAAACCAGGCCATTCCAAGAAGCATGGTTGTACCGCACTTAAAAAACTTCGCTTTTTTAATGTCATAGTTCAGCGAACGAGTAGAAGGATTACATGATGGTAAGCAATCAGCCATGATCGCCGATAAGGAGGTACTATAAGTGCCTTGTGGGTTATTAGGGATTTAAGGATGGGGGAAGGATTGGGCCTCCAGTGACTCCGAGGACGAAACACAAGATAAGTGTTACTTCACGCCAGTTTACTGTGAGGCCGTTATATCACTCCAGTCGAGCCATTGTATTCATGCTGAAGTACAGCTCTACCACATTTAATAATCTCCTCAAATTTGTAAGTACCTACTTAAAGCCTTGCAATGTATTTAAATAATTACTTTTCCCGTTTAAGCCTTTGACTGCCGACAGAAAACTGTAAAAGGCAAATCGGGCGTTCATAATGTTGTTGAGAAACTGCTTACCAATGTAATAGAAGTTCTTCGGCAGTTTGCTGATGAGGGGTTTAAAGCTGACAGCCGAGTCTACACTGCCGTGGCATAGCAGGACGGGAGGGTCGAAGCAGTTACCCCATGCTATAACTGGAAGGAAAAAGATTATAAATTAAATTCACTATCAGCCTATAAGTGCCAGCCCTCTTCTCATACGGAGAAGGTAAGAGCATTAATTACCACGCTTGCTCAATGCGGGTTGGCGATTTCAAACGTATAATTAGAAAAAGTCCAGGTTTCCTCACGATGTTTACCTTTACCGTATGTCAGTGGTGTCTAAATAATCATAGAAAGTACATATAGCTCGGAAAAAGTCACATTGGTACTTGCCAGGTTTCGAACCCACACCCTCATGCATGGGAACCGGGCTCCTTTTTTTTTATGGGATAAGTCGGCAAACGAGCAGACGCATTACCTGATGGTAATCAATAAGCAATCGGCGCCGCCCATGGACACCCGCAACACCAAAGGAGTTACGAGTGCGTTGCCGGCCTTTTGGGGATAGGGGTTGCGGATATAAGGATTGGGAAGGGATAGGGGAAGGGGAGGGATTGGGCCTCCTTAACCTCCGCGCCACCACGACATCACAAATTGGTTTCTTCTGGGTCTTCCTAGATTGGTCTAGAAGTGTCAGACATTTTTTTTATCTGATAGAATGGGCAGACGAGCATACTGACTACCAGATGGTAAGCAATCAACGGAAGAGTTACGAGTGCGTTGCCGAACTTTTGGGGATTTAGTGATTGGGGGAGGGGAAGAATTGGGCCTCTACTAATCTCACTTAAACGGCGAAACCAAACGCTGTAGTTGTTTCACGCCTTTGGTTTTCGGTTAGTGGCTAAAAACGACTCTGTATCATGACCACACCAGATGGGGTCCAAATAGGCATTTCGGCATCTGTTGTGGTCTTTTATTGTGAGGGGAATATCATCAAATAGTGCCTACCGCCCAGGATGAGGCAAAAAAAAAGTGTAAGATAAAAATCCCCCCGTTCCTTCTCCTGCTCTGGGCCGAGGCCGTGCGCTTGCCCTGCAACCCCGGCTGAACATCAGCCCTAATAGGTGTATGTGGTGATCTATTGGCTCTTATTTGGTGGTATGGTAAATTTCAAGTAACTATTAATGATGATTCAGTGGATTCCCAACGAAATAGATATTAAACATTCTATCTAACTAAGAGTGGGCAACAATTAGGTTTTATCAACACTACATTCATGTAATTCACCTTTGCATGGCAACTAATTGTAGAACTCATCACACAAAAAGCCAATATACCTACCAAGAAGACCAACAATGGTAGGTATACATTATTCAACCAACAATACCAAGAATGGTATATTCAACCTTTTTGGTTGAACTGGTTGTAAATTGTTACTTGCGTGCCTGTCTTCAGAACAAGTCCACTTAAACTGGTGTCATTCTTTCCTCAAAAGAACACTACGGAATGAACTTGCATTATTCTCACACATTATATTTATTATTTTTTTAAATTATATGAGCTTTAAAAGAAATGGGCTTCTGAGTTTCATACAGATTTATTTCTCAGAGTAGTTAGATAGGAAATGAAGGCTTAATCTAGATTTTTTTAATATTTATAAGATAAATTTTTGTGTTCTGTGATAGACACAACACTGTTAATTAAACACAATTAAGTTGCTCTATAAGAAGGGAAACAGCATTTAATATTTATTATTACAATGTCAGTTCCTAAATCACAATATTTAGAACTATTTAACAATTTAATTTACACCGCTATGTATTAGTGGCATGACATTTTAAATTACAATATTCTATAGATCAGATGACAGGGAACGCCGCAATGATATCTGTTGTGCGAGAAAAAATAAATTAAACCAAAGTATACTTCGATTTCTTTACGTAACTACAATTATAATGTGTGAAAGTGATGTTTTATCACCTATTTGCAAAAATATATTCATTGTTTTATTTTACTAGCACCAATGTTATACCCATTGTAGTTACACCCCAAAAGCAATAATATACCATAGTCAAGCATAAAGCCAGAGAAGAAATGAGGTAGTTTTTAATCTGTAAAAGTATGACACCTTCTTGTCTCATCCAAGACAGAGAAGTCATTGAATGATAACAAAATGGCAAAAAGAAATCCTGTGAGGGCTTGATATCACCCAAGTAGAGCTGGCCTATTATAAGACCATTGTTGCTAGCTCTCCTACACTTAAAACAATTACTTTTTAACTGTCTTGAGAATAAGAAACGCAAAAAGCACCAAGTAGGTAGTAATTAAAATAGCATAGTAACTGGCAGTATGCACAATTTTGATTTATATTCCATTTTTTATAAAAAAACGCGTGAATTTAAATCAAACGGTCTAAATGAAAGCTTAATAATAATAAGGTCAAAGATCAAGGTACGGGAAAACCTCATTTGAAGACGTTATCTGATAAGTTTGATATTTAAAACAAGATCACAGTTCAAAGGTCATTTTCGACAAAAAACTGTTATTTGGCCTTAAATTCCATGATTTTTATGAGATAATATAGTAATAGCATATACTTACTTGCTATCCTGCCCCACGGAGCTTGAATATACCATTCTTTTTCCAATAAATCCATACTAAAAGAAACTTTATTCGCAAAGTTTATAAGTAACTTTGTTTTACACTTCTGCAATTATTATTCAATAGTCTGTTGCACTGGAATATATTTTAAGTGCAGTGTAGTATAATAATTTGAATATTTACATTAACCTTTAGCAAGATATATTATTTAAATTTAAATAATTAACAAGAGTAAGTACTGTAGTGCGAGCTAGCATAACAAAACGATCTGTCATTATAAATAAAGTGAAACGTCAAATCTGACGGTAGGTAGGTACAGATAACATATAAAGTTGACATCAAACAAGGTGCAATAAAACGTATCACACTCGAATGAAAAACCTTTATTATTTGAAATTATAAATTGAAAAACCTTACATTTTTATACCTTTTTCAGTTTAACTAGCTCAATAAGAAGTTAACCTAGTACTGTATTTTAAACATATTTCTTAGTACACATATAAAACAGAAAACCGACGTGAAACCACTACAGCGTTGTGTTACGCCACGCCACGTGACTGCGGTTATCAGAGGCTCAATCCTTTCCTTTCTCCTACTGCACCTCAATCCTTAAACGGCCGGCAAGGGATTCTTCCTTTTTGTGGTGTTGCCATAGGTGGCGCCAATTGCTTACCATCAGGTAATCGGCCTGCTGATTTTAAAAATAATGAAACAATTAGTGTTCTTTAGTGTAATATTAAAATGATTTACACCACTGTATTGTTTTAAAACAGTACTCGTAGTATCATCAGAATGATATTATGGCGTGACACACTTATCTGTTACTACATAATAAATCATAGATATACAATTCTAAGTACATAATGGGTGCAATAAGACAATTAATTGATAAAACAGTAATGTAGAAAGAAGATAAGTGTTTAAAAGTAGCACCTTTTATTACTTTAGTAACTTATTTGGCTTTTCGCTGAGCAGATAGCAGATAAGAAAAGACATTATTTTCAGTAAGCTCTGGCTGGAGACAATAACCTGTAGAGACGCGTTGACGTGCTGAACAGAGCCCTTCATAAAAAGTAGCATATTTTTTGTCCCTAATAGAGCAGCCAAGGTTCGGCACGAATGGGTTGGCTCGACCGGAGTAATACCACGGCCTCACAGAAAACCGACGTGAAACAGCCACAGCCTAGTATTTCGCCGTGTAGCTTCCGGCTGACGCAGGTGCTTACCGGTGCCGGACACGGGTGTTTCGGGAAGTACCTGTGTCGCATAGGTCGGGAGCAGACGTCTCAGTGCCACCATTGTGGTGATTGCCGCGTGCATACCTTGGCGGAGTGCCCAGCTTGGGCCGAGCAGCGACGTGACCTGGTCGCGGCCGTAGGTGCTGCGGGAAATCTCTCGCTTCCGGCTGTAGTGTCTACTATGGTTGGGAGCGAGTCAGGCTAGAGTACCGTCGCTACCTTCTGCGAGGCCGTGATGCTCGCAAAGTAGGCGGCGGAAGGGTTGAGAGAGGCTGCCTCGTCTCCCGCAGCAGACGCACTAGACGTCGTTGGGTGGCCGATCTGCGGCCACCGTAGGGCGCGGCCTGTGGACGACAGACTCGGGGCGTCTTGTCGTCCGACCAGCAGAAGGCCTCGAGGCGACGGCGACGTGTTCCGCGCGCGCCTCATAGTGGAGTCCTGCGGTCGGGGTGACGGCCGCAGTGGGTGACGGGGCCCGCCAAATCATCTGGCGAGCCAATACCCGTCGGGGGGTTGCGACGAATGCTTCGGCGATACCCACCCCTACGACACATGGGTAAGTGGAGGAACACCGGGTTGGTTTTTAGTCAGCAAGAGTCTGACAGTACCCTTCGCCCTTCCCCGAGGGCGATGGGTGTCCATGAGGATTTTCTAACCCAATACAAAAAAAGAGTATTTCGCCGTGTGAGTGAGGTTACCTTATCCCTTACCAATCCTTAAAAATCTGAAACTCTTATTCCTAAAAGGCCGACAACGCACTCGTAATTCCTTTGGTATTGCGGGTGTCCAGGCAGCACTTATTGCTTACCATCAGGTAATCCGTCTGCTCGTTTGCCGACCTATTTACATATACCATAAAAAAAAATTGTAATGTGGCTTAAGAATACTAAAATATAAAATGTTTATCAACAAAACAAAATTAAGTGGTCCTTTGATCATATAAATTGGCAAACAGGCCGAAAACGCGCTTGTAACTTCTATCCTTTATGGTCTGTCGATTTAGGTACATAGGTAACTTACTAAATATAAACAATCTTTGCATAGGTATCTTTATATACCTGAAAGTTGTCTAAAAATTGTGTGTGTATAATCAATATTTACCTAAATCGATGTTTGCTAATAAACTTAATTTAGATAGTCGTTGTATGTACGTATTTTAAATGACCTCTTTAATATAAAAAGACATGCCAAGATTGTGTACCTTCTGGAAGCGAAGGCGCTCGCGCGCGTCTACAGTTTGCGCGCAGACGCGCATCTCCGGGGCGAAGATCTTCTGCCGCGCCAAATTAGTGCGTGGCGGAATGAGCTCCGGCGAGATCTCATGGCAGAGTGGAAGCAACGACTGTCACAACCGAGGGCTGGGCACGCTGTTATAGGAGTGGTAAGACCCCTCTTTGAGGAGTGGTTTGAGAGACGCCACGGCGTCCTCCCCTTCCGCCTGACGCAGGTGCTTACCGGGCACGGCAGATTCGGTAGGTTCCTGTTTCGGATTCAGCGGAAAGAAACGCCCGAGTGTCGTCATTGTGAGGACCACCAGGAGGACACGGTGAAGCATACGGTGGCGGTGTGCCCTGCTTGGGCTGAGCGCCGCCGTGTCGTCGTGGAAGTGATCGGCGGCGGCGACCTCTCGCGCCCAGCCTAAGTCGAGGCCATGGTTCGTAGCGAGAGGAACTGGAAAGCCGTCTGCTCTTTCTGCGAAGCAGTTATGCTCGCAAAGGAGGAAGCGGAGGGTGTGAGGGCACTATCCTCCTCGCGCCCCAGCCGCCGCAGTAGGCGACATTCTGGGCGTCGGGGATCGTGATGTGATCTCCGGCCACCGTAAGCGCGGGTCTGCGGACGGCGAGTAAGGGTAGCTCGCCACCCGACCAGAACCAGACCCGCTCGGGTCTGGTTCTGGTCGTACGGCGCGTGGCCTTCCGCGCGCGCCTCAAAGACCCAATGGACCACCACAGACGGGGCCCTATAGGGCTGATGTTCAGCCAGGGTTGCGGGTTAAACGTAATGAGTCACCGCGGCCCCGGCCCAGAGCAGGAGAAGGAACGGGGGGGTTTTTAGTCAGTAAGAGTCTGACACTCTCTCTCGCCTAACCCTGGGCGGGAGAAATCATTTGATGATTTACCCCTGACAAAAAAAAAATTGTGTTCCTTTAGTTAACCACCTAAACAGATAGACCATAGTTACATGATAAGTGATCCATTTACTCGTTTGCCGTTTCCTATTTTATACCTATAGCCAGGAAGGAAGGCAAAAACATAATTCAGTCATCAAATTCTTTTACGCTTACGTTACAACAATGGACTATGAATAATGACAATTAAATTAAATTCACACAAAATCTTTTAAATTAATTCAGCTTGAAAACAAAGCAAAATGGCGGCGAAAACTTGTTAAAGAATTATGACCTTTATCACATCACACATTCTTTCATCGATTTTACATTTCTTACAAGATAATGATGAGTCGTTGAAAAAACACAAAAACCAAATTAAAAATACACTCCATCGCGTCGCTAGTTTCTTCAAGATTTTATTGCTTCTTGGCATTATCTCAATAATTTTTTTAGTTCCGATTTTATCCACTCGCATAGTTAATTTGGTGGCGTCGTCTACTACTGTTTACGACGATCGCTATGACGTAAGATATTTATGGTTTTATCTGTTTATTGATGTATTTGACGTTATTAACTTGTTTACGAAGATACTTGACATGGTGTTTTATTTTGACGCAGGCTGTTGATCCATCTGCCATTCAGCCTACTTAAATACTTAACTAAGGCTTTTGCATGAATTGTACGGTTTGTATATAGGTACGAAAAGTATAGTACCTAGGTACCTTAAGTGTGGGAGAGCCATGCTTCGGCACGAATGGGTCGGCTCGACCGGAGTGATACCACGGCCTCACAGAAAAACCGGTGTGAAACAACCACAGCGTTGTGTTTCGCCGTGTGAGTGAAGTTACCGGAGGCCCAATCCTTCCCCTCCCCCAATCCCTCCTCAATCTTTAAATCTCCAAATCCCTAATTCCTAAAAGGTCGGCAACGCACTCGTAACTCCTCCATTGCGGGTGACCATGGGCGGCGCTGATTGCTAACCAGCTCATGTAATCTGTCTGCTCTTTTGCCGACCTATTACATAAAAAACCTACATAGTCAGAAAATACGATATTTTAACCATCACATAAAAAAACGTGGTGTTAACAAGGTTGAGTTCGCCAATAGCCAGACTACGCTACTACCTAAGATAAGTTTTTAGTTTAAAACTAGCTGTTTCTCCTGCTGCTTCTCTCCTATTGGTCGTAGGATGATATTTTATAGCCTATAGCGAAAGAATTTTGGAAATCCGATCAGCGGTTCCAAAAATTACCCCCTACATCATCATCATGATTATTATCATCAGCCTATAAGTGCCCACTGCTGAGCAAATTGTTGGCGATTTCAAACTTATAATTAGAAATTATAAGTCCATGTTTCCTCACGATATTTACCTTGACCGTATGTCAGTGGTGTCTAAATAATCATAGAAAGTACATATAACTCGGAAAAAGTCACATTGGTTTCGAAACCACACCCTCATGCATGAGAAGCGGGCTTCTTAACCTCCGGGCCACCACGACCCCCTACATACAAACTTATAAATTTTACCTTTGTATAGTATAACTATAGGTAGACTAATATCTGTAGTCTTCATATTTAGAAGATACTAAAAAGAATCCTTCAATTAATAAAAGAAAAAAGAATTGCATCGCCCGACTAGGTCAAAGAGGCTGCAACACAACGTTTCGCGGTTTCGATTCCTGCAGGGATCAACGCTTTGTGTGTTCTTTAATTGTTGTTTCGGGTCTAGGTGTCACGTGTAATTGAACTGGCAACGTTTTATAAGAAGAAATGCTTCAGTTTCTAGGCCTCACAGCAAATTGCCGCGCTTCTTTTCTGATGGTAAGGGAAGTTATCAAATTACCAGTGGAAAAGCAAAATGTTTTTTAACTTGAATGGTGTCAGTTCAACCGAGAAAGTGATAGTTCAGGATGTCCAAGTTGCTATTCGATTGTTTTATTAGTTTCAGGAAGCTGTAGGAAGTAATTTAAGTGTTGGAGAGTTACTTATACTTCGGCAGGGTCTACAACTTTGGGTCGGCTCGACCGGGCTAATACTACGGTCTCGAAGGAAATTTACGTGAAACAACACATTGGAAACTCATCAAATGTCCTCTCCCGCCCAGGTTGGAGCGAAAGGGAGTGTCACACTCTTTCTGATTAAACCACGCCTGTTCCTTTTCCTGCTGGCTGCTAGGCCGAGGCCGCTATGCCGGTGCCTTCATTGTTAATTGTATTAGGTCCGCTCATTTGCCGAACTTATGCATAAAAAAAATGTATAAAGCAGTTAGCCTTCTTCTTCAAACCCCAATCGGACGCCGGCGTTCCCGCACCTACATATATTGTTCTTCTATTGTGTCTTGAGTTACCTTGAAAGGTTAAATCTGTAACACATTTTGTGATGCCTCTGATGTTGCAAGGGTACTTAGGCCACAGGGTACTTAACACCAGGCTAGGAGTAAGCTTTTTTTATCAGCCATAATTTTAAAAATACGCCTTCAATCAAACAGCCTAATCGTCCCTTTTTACGATTTATATTAGTGAGTATTAAATAAGGTACTACCTATTTGATATTAATCCTTACATACTAACACAAAACTATATAAAATAATAGTAATAATATCTGACACAAAATTGACATAAAGTAATGTCTTATTAAATACACTTCGTATATAAACAACAGCCTGTGAAGTGTATACATTTATTTCTCAAGGTTATGACAAAAGATAAGGTTTGATAAAATTAGTCGCTACATAAAATGAAAGTGTCAAAAATATTTAAAGGAATAAACGCGTAAGTGCCGTTTTTTTGTATTTAAAAATGAATAATGTCCATAATGCTGTCGTTATTGTGAATTTTAAAATATTATTTTTATCTGTGCTTGTGACATTGTAACCGTTTTCGTTGATTTACAATCGAATGACCTCCACTTGTTAAACTGGTTTTAGTTTGTTGTGATTTTACCAAAAAAGACGTTCGACATTCGGTTATTAGCTACTTAAATAAAATAACTAAACGCTTTTTTTGTTAAAAAAAGGTTTTCTGTTATTGTTTTGGCGGATAGTCACGCCATCTAGTTAGGAAAATTGTAACTAATACAATGGTGTTAGTGTAATTCGTGAAAGTTTATAACAAAACTTATTTTTTGTAGTAAGAAAACGGTAAAATAATTCTTTTTATACAATTCTAGGACAATGAAAGTTGCATTAAGGTTGAAAGAGCAGGAATATTCAATAAAAGCACCATGGGGTAACATTGCAGGTATGTTATCGTATTATTTATATACACAAAATATACGGCACTTGTTTTTACTAAATTAAACAAACAATTATCTAAAATCGGACTAATAAATCTTAAGATACCGGTTTTGCTCAACAGTGGGCGCTAAAGTACCAACTGATAAAAACCTGACAATTAGGAGTCAGTAGGTACCTACAGATTACGAAAATTCAAAAATCAATTTATTAGTACCTAGTGGCACACTACAAAAAAAAAATTAGGTACACTTACATAGTTGTTATTTTGTCATATTGTTTAGTTTTTTTTTAAATGCGCGACACTTAGGTAACTACTTTTCTCTTGTGTCGTGGATGCGCTTACAATCATACAAATTCACATATGTAGTACCTATACATTTACTTGTAATGATCGGCAAATAAGCGGACTTAAGTATTAGCTGATGGTTAAGCAATCATCGTCGTCCTTGGATGCCCACTACAACAACCAAGTTTCAAATGGAGAAGGGAGGAGGGAGTTTAGGATAGAGGATACAAAAGAGGTAGGTACTTTGCGTTCTGTTATATTCATAATTAGTCCGCGGTTATTGCAAATGCATGCATTTTTGATTACTATAAAAATACTTGCAACCGCGTGGCGGCTTCAGTCTTCCGGTGCCGTCACATTGTCAATATCTTATCCTGACGAGTTTAAGACAATCCTTTACTGTAATCCTTGTGAAGTTCAAGTTTCTTTTCATTAAAGTAGTGTTAGCAGTACTAAGTGTTTTTTAAAAAAAAAAAAGACTGACACCAGCTCTTCCTAACTGTTCCACGGGCGACAGACAATAGCCAGTTGGCCGGCCACTGCATCAACCGTGCAGTCAATATAAATAATGCAGTTCATATTATGACAATGACATGGCAAAAAATATTTGATTGCAAAAAAAATATATCAATTTTTTTTTCTTACAGCATTAGCTTGGGGTGATCCTTCGAATCCACCAGTGATTTTGTGCCACGGGAAACTGGATGCAAGCTCAGGGTTTCGCCCCCTCGTCTCCAGGCTGCCAACCTGCTTCTTCTACTTAAGCATAGACCTACCAGGGAATGGGAAATCGGACCATTTACCGAAAGGAATTCGGTATACCGTCGTGGATTTGGTACCGACGATAGTAAAAGTAAAGGACCATTTTAAATGGGACAAATTTATTTATATCGGACATTCTCTCGGAGTACCCATTGGTGAGTAGTTTTTAGAACTTTTAGGATAACATTAGACTTATTCTTACATTTATTTAATTGGAAAAGTCCGCCTCACCCTCCTTAAACCGATACAACCATGAAAACACCGGAACACTGAAGTCCGGGGCGTCCCAGGGACATGAACGAATGTCTTTATTTGAGGAGAATGCAAACTTAATTTAGAATTTTCAATTATTCTTATATTTATATAAAATCTTTTTTATATGTGTTAGGACGGCAAAAGAACAGACTGATCGCTTGATGGTAAGCAATCAGCGCGACCCATGGACATCCTAAATTCCTCAAGAAGTTACGACTCTGTTGATGGACTTTTGGGGATAAGGGATTACGGAGATCCAGGGATTGGGGAAGAGAAAAAAGTTTGGGTCTCTGATTACCTGACTCGCATTGAGACACAACGCTGTGGTATTTCACGCCGGTTGACTGTGAGGCCGTGATCTCACTCCGGTTGCATTTTTAACATACAATTTCACCTACATATCACCCCTAGACCATGAAGGATAATTTGTGGATCACACAAAGAGTTGTTCCGTACAGGAATAAAAAACGCAACTAGTAGAAAAATATATTTTATTGGATATTTGGATCATTAATAAAAATTATCGTCATATTTTCCAGGCAAAATCTTCAACATAGCGTACCCGGGTCATATCACACGCGTAGTCGAATTAGATCCGGTACCAGCGCACCACACATGGCCCTTCACCAGACAAGGTCTTCACGATTGGTATCACTCCTATTATATGATGTATAACGAGGAGAGGTTCCATAAATTCAACAGTGGACTGGACACCGCGCCGAAGTACAGTTATGAAAAGGTAGGGCATATGAGAAATGATCTTCGGTCACCGTGAGCGCGGTTCTGCGGACGGCGAGTTACCGACCCGAGCGTACGGCGCGTAGCGTTGCGCGCGCGCCTCAAAGAGCCAATAGACCACCACAGACGGGGCTCTATTGGGCTCATATTCAGCCGGGGTTGCGAGTTAAGCGCAATTAGTCACCGCGTCCTCGGCCCAGAGCAGGAGAAGGAAAAGGGGGGTTTTTATCAGTAAGAGTCTGTCTGACTCTCTCTCTCTCGCCTTACCCTAGGCGGGCGAAGTAATTTGATGATTTTCAAGAGAGATTTTTCCTTAATTGTTATCGCTCTGGGTGGGACATGAGGAAGTGTCAGACTCTTACTGACTAAAACCCACACAGTTTCATCTGCTCTTGCTTGGACAGCAACTCCGGCCTTTTTTTGAGGGGGAATGTCGTCTATCGTCTTCGATCTGGGTGGGGCGAGAGGGACTTTCAGACTCATAGGTACTGACTAAAAACGATACATTTTTTATGTGATAGATCGGCAAACGAGTAGTCGGATTAATTTATAAGCAATCAGCGCCGCCCATGGACACCAGAAAGAAGGAAGAGTTAAGTACGAGTGCTTCGCCGACCTTTTGGGGATTAGGGATTTGGAGTTTTGGGATTGGAGAGAGGAAGAATTGGGCCTCCAATAACCTCACTCACACGGTGAAACACTACGCCGACCTATACGAGAAAAAATCCCTTCCCAATTCTTAAATATCCAAAGAGGGCGGAGACGCACTCGTAACTCCTTTGGTGTTGCGGGTGTTCATGGGCGGCGATAATAGCTTACCATCTGGTAATCTGTTTGCTCGTTTGCCGACCTGTACCATAAAAAAGAACAACAATAGTTGATTACGATTGTTGTTAGTTGACGACCAAATGATTACGGTTCTTGATTTCAGGCACAACAGCTTATGATGCAGACACGAGGTTTATCCAAAGAGGCGACAGAACATGTCCTAGAGAGATGCCTGGTCCCGGCAGGAGATGGTCTTTACAGGTATGACGTACCAGCATACTCCTTTTTGTTTATTGGATAAGTCGGCCACCTGATGGTGAGCATTCGGAAATCAGCGCTGTTCTTGAAGCAATGAAACAATGAATTTATTTTTGCAAATAGGCCATAAAACGGCACTTTTACACGTCAAATTATATGTGAAAAACTAGACGAAGCCGGCATTTCCTATCTGACTACTTACTCTGAGAAGAAATGCCGAAACAAACTCAGAGGTCAGTCTCTTTTCTAGTCCAGACAATGTAAAATAACATAATGTGAGAGAATCGTGCAAGTTCATTCTGTAGTAGTCTTTTGAGGAAAGAACCACACCAGTTTAAGTGGACCCGTTCTGAAGACAGGCAAGCAAGTCAGTCAGTCAGTCAGTTTGCAACTAGTATTATAGCTAGTGCTGCTGAGTTGTCCGACGAACAATACCGATCAAAAGAACATTTGGGTGGGTCGCGCAAGTACTCAAACTGTCAGAACGCAGATAACTGGTAATCAAAAAGCACGGCAAGTCTCACACGGTCCTTAAACTAACAATAATACTTAAAACAATAAAAATGTCAAATAAAAAATAAAAATGTCACAATACGTGATTATGTAATTGTATAAAAAATAAACGTAATGTCAAATTATATATAAAAGTGTAACTTAAGTTACAAACAAACATGTCAACATGACCTGTGCAGACATTACAGCGGCTCATTCCCAAGCCTGACTATCCTCTAAGTAGTCTTTTATTTTATAAAATGCTTTATAGCAAAGTTTAGCCTTTATTACACTTTTAAATTTATTGAGGCTCAAATTTTGAATATCGCTAGAGATTTTATTGTAAAAGCGTATACATTGACATCTAAACGAACTACTTATTTTCTGAAGCCTGGAGGCAGGGACAACATATTTGTTTTTCCCCCTCGTGTTGATATTATGTATATCACTATATTTCTTAAATAAGCTTTTGTTTTTATGAGCGTGAATTACATTTTCATAAAAACTGTCATTATTTTAGATTCCTTAAATAATTCTCTGAGCGAATGCCTCGGACCAAGATTATAGATTGATAGGATAGCCCTTTTCTGCAGAACAAAAATAGACTGGATGTCAGCAGCATTCCCCCACAACAAAATACCGTATGACATGAAAAAGATGATGATGAAGACCTGCAATATCAAAGAGTTACAAGTGCGTTGTTAGCAATGTCAGCCTTTTACGGGATTCGGGATTAGGGACGGGGTAGAGATTGAGAGTCCGGTAACATCATGCACACAGCGAAACAACGCAAGCTCGTTTCACTGCAGTTTTCTATGAGGTCATGGTGTCAATCCGGTCGAAATTTGTAGATTAAATAGTCTGTTCGTCAGACTTACCTTACTGAACTGATTTGAGGGTGGGAAATCATCTAATAACTTTCCTTCTACGCTACCAATGGTGGAAAAAGTCAGGTTCTGTCAGTTTCAGCCTCTGAACTGACTAAAACCACGTCGGTTTTCTCTCCTCCTCCTGCATATCGGTTTGCCCGCAACTACTTTCGCAGTGTTTCGTCGTGTGAATGAGGTTAGCGGAGGCCCAATCCTAACCCTCCCCCGCCACGCTCAATCTACATATCCCTAATAATCCACATGACGTCGGCAACGCACTAGTAGTCTTAACTCCTTTAGTATAACGAATGTCCTTGGGCGGCGCTGATTGCTTACCACCAGGTAATCCGTGCCCGTTTGCCAACCTATGACATAATAAAAACAACAAAGAAATCTACCACTATTCATTCATTCTTGTTGTTCCATTCCAGGTTCACCTTCGACCAGCGAATGAAAGAAGTATCAGTATTCCCATTTTCCGGAGAAATGTTAAGAAAAATATACACAACCACGACAACACCAACATTTTGTGTATTAGCTAAGAAAATGATAGAATTAGGTGTTTACGAACCTGTACCATTCGTAATGGATGAAAAGGCTTGGCCTCACGGCAATTATAAGTATAAAATTGTAGAGGGCGGCCATGATGTGCACATAGACAATCCAGAATACATGGCTGATGACATTTCAAACTTTATTTTAGAAGGAACGAAGGCGAAATTGTGATATTGTTATTTATTAAAGTTTTTTTAATTTATTTATTGTGTTTTTATATTTTATTTATGTACTTGGACGCCATCGGCTTAGTGGGCCAAAGGTTAAGTGTCTGCTTCTCATGCATGAGGAAACGGGTAACGAAATAAAGCTAGTATCTACTTACCTACCAATGTGACTTTTTCCAAGGTAGGTTGTATTTATAAGCTGTGTTTCTATGATTATTTAGACACCACCGACTTATGGTGCGGAAACCTGGACTAAAAACATCTTAATATGTGTTATAAATCGCCAATCCACCTAGAGCGAGTCGCGTGGTGGTCTACCTATTGTTCAAAGCTTGTCCGTGTGAGAAGAGGCCTTTGCTTAGCAGTGGGCACTTATAGGCTGATGATGATGATGATATTGTGTTTAAACTATATACAATCATAAAAGTAAACGTGTTCTAGAGTGGAGACCACGTCTAGGCAAACGTAGTGTAGGGCGCCCTCCAGCTAGGTGGACTGACGACATCCGCAGGGTGGCTGGCAGTGGTTGGATGAGAAGAGCTGAACATCGAGCTCAGTGGCGTGCAATTGGGGAGGCCTATGTCCAGCAGTGGACGACAACAGGCTGATGATGATGACAATTATAAAAGCTTCATTTCCACCTTTGTTTTTGTCAACTCTGAACCCGGCAACCAAGGAGGCCGTTAGGTGTAGGTACTTATTTACAAATAAAACACGTTAATTTGTCTGCAGACAATTATTTATTTATATTGTGTTTTACATTAACCTTATTACACAAAACAATGAAATAGGTATCCAAATAACAGTTAAAGTAGGTGACTGACACCTGGCAAGTTTAAAAAAAAATCCCGACCCGGTTATCTGTTTAGCTTAGAGGAAAGTCACCAAATATGAAAATTCCACATAACCGAAATGGTATTCCTTAGGTATTTAGTTACTTTCCTCTATCTACAGTACGGCCGACGTATCTTGGCGAGTCTGAAGTTAGCCATTTGTGTTTTTTTTATGTAATAGGTCGGCAAACGAGCAGTCTGATTACCTGATGGTAATCAATCAGCGCCGCCCATGGACACTCGCAACGGAGGAGTTACGAGTGCGTTGCCGACCTTTTAGGGATTAGGGATTTGGAGATTTAGGGATTGGGGGAGGGAAAGGATTGGGCTTCCGGTAACCTCACTCACAAGGCAAAACCCAACGCTATGGTTATTTCACGCCGGTTTTCTGTGAGGCCGTGGTATCACTACGGTCGAGCCGACCCATTTGTGCCGAAGCATGGCTCTCCCACACTTTGTCTGCGCAAATAAGGAACAAAATTGTGTACTGCGCAGCTAATCGGCTAACTTCAGACTCGCCTAGATTTGACGTTGACGGTATTGTATATTTAATTTGATCTTAAATAATTCTAAGGTACCTAATAAATAACAAATAATAAGTATATACATAACAATGTAATTAAGCAATTGATAAATGACTTATTCCTAAAGTCCCATACGCCATTTAGTGCCAATTAAGCCATGTTTTTAATTACAAATAGGTAGGTACTTATTAATATTTATTTCAATATTTATAACTCTAGGAATACACTTACCTACATCGACATACAATTATATAGGGCGACTGGTAATTAGTGACCGATATTTATAAACACGTTATTTCACTCATAATAACAAACAACTTTCCCAAAGAAACTTAGTTTCTACAATCATTCATTAATTTTATTAAATTACTATAACAAAATTTCGCACGCCATGCGTCGCACGATCAGCTGTTTACTTGCCGCGCCCGCCATTAATTTTATTAAAGATAGAGAGCATATGCTATCTCTTTCACTCTTTTCACATTTAATTATATACAGATTATACAGATACGGAATGTTTATTAGTAGGTATATGTCGATGGTTGGACATTATTTTAACGCGGGCAGTTAATACTTAAAAAAATATTGACGCTTGCTTGGCCTGCCTTTTATAGATAAAATATCCAATCCGAGTTAATAACTATTAGACCAGGGTAGAAGCCTTCAAAAATAATGAAAAGTGAAAAAAAATTATAATAGAATGAAATCCATTAGAAAAAGAGGGAAAATTTTTGTAGAAGATAAAAATAAAAAACCAAAAACTTGGTTTTTTGAATTTTTTACATAAATTTTGAGGTTAGGTATGTGAAAAAAAAGTAAATACAAAAGTTTTAGATCTTTTTATTATCTACAACTTTTCCATTTGACTTTTACTTTTGCCGGAAATCGAGAAAACCGTTTTTTACCCTTAAAACCTCCCCCCACCCCCTCCCCAACCTCCGATCGCCCGTAAATTATTTTTCCTTTCATTTTTATCATATTTCCCTCCTTTTCTAATAGGTTTCACCATATTATGATTTTTTTTGGTTTTAAAAATTATCGACCCTGGACTATATCACTTTCCAAGTCTTTCAATTTAAGGCCAAAATCAGTCATTCCATAAATACATGCTAATGTAGTCTTAGTAGGTACTTAAGTATAAATAAAATATAAAACATTAAAAATACAATTATGTTTATACATGATACATTATGAATCAAGAATTGAAATCAGACCTTAATGCATTCAAACATTGCGTTCACAATAATTTAATTTCAAATAAATCATGTAAGCTTAAGCCTCGCTGACACATACACGCAGTGCGTTTTGTTATTCCTTGTTCATTTTTTTTTTTGTTCTGTAATTGGCAGGCATTAATTTGTCCGCTATCAATGACCTACGATGGAGCACGCCTACACATAAGCAACCTATACACTCGGGCCTTTTTTTGTGAGGGGAAAATCATCAAATGACTTCTCCCGCCCAGGGCCGGCGGGAGGGAGTGTCAGACTCTTACTGACTAAAAACCCCCCTGTTCCTTCTCCTGCTCTGGGCCAAGACAGCGGTGCCTCATTGCGCTTAACCCGCAACCCCGGCTAAACTATGGGGATACACTCGGGCCTTGAAGACAAGTTATATGTACTCTTCAGGGAACACAGACTCCGGCAAGGAATTCCGTTCCTTAGCGGTTCTCATTATAAGACTAGAGGCGAACCGCTTCGTGCCTGGTTTTTTTTTTAAATAAGACAAGCTTCCCTCAACCTCCCAACACCGCTGCAACCATGAAAACACCGGAACACTGAAGTCCGGCGCGTTCCAGGGACATGAATGACTGTCTTGGATCCCGCAACGAAATAAATCAGAAGATATTAATTGAGGAGAAAAAGTAATGTTGGCGTAAAGCGTTCTGTATCCGCAATGTACGACAAACGACCGTGGAATGCGTGAACAAGACTTAAATATACAATTTAGGTGACTGTAAGTTTATACATTCAGTCAACAAAGTATCGGGAATGAATGTTTTTTTTATGGTTCCAAATTCGAATTTTAATTTTTTTTGTTGTTGTTAGATTGGCATAACTGTTTTCCATGTATCTCACGAGTCGATCCGTACCATTTTAACAAATAATTTGGGTATGAAACGTGTTGCCGCTCGGCTAGTCCCAAAAGACCTGAATTTTCTTCAAAAACTAAATCGCATGAAAGTCGCTGAGGACATGCTAGAACGACTCAATACCGACCCAACATTCATGAAACGCATTGTTACTGGTGACGAGACGTGGGTTTACGAGTTTGACATGCAAACTAGTCAACAAGCTTCGGAATGGCGCCTTCCAACTGAACCAAAACCGAAAAAACCACGTCAAAGTCGATCAAAAGTCAAAGTCATGTTGACTGTTTTCTTTGACTATCGCGGTGTTGTGCACTCAGAATTCTTGCCCGAAGGTCAAACGGTAAATAAAGAATATTATTTGAGCGTTATGCGGCGTTTAAGAGAACAAATTCGACGAAAAAGGCCAGAAATGTGGAAAGAAAATTCTTGGATTTTGCATCACGATAATGCGCCTTCGCACAAGGCCATCATTGTAAACGATTTTTTGTCCAAACACTCAACAAACACCATCGAGCAGCCACCATATTCACCAGATATGGCTCCAGCCGACTTCCTTTCTTTTTCCCACACTCAAATTACCCCTTCGTGGCACCCGTTTTCAATCGTTAGAAGACATAAAGGAGAATTCGTGGCGAGCACTGAACTCAATTCCGGAAACAGCGTTTAAAAAAAGTTTCGATGATTGGATTATTCGTTGGCGTAAGTGTATCGTTTCTGAAGGAGCATACTTTGAAGGTGATAAAATAAATTTAGATGAATAACAAACATTTTGTGTATTATTGACTTTTTCCCGGTACTTTCTTGACAGAGTAGTATGTATATCAAGATCTCCTACCGAACGTGATGTTTTTCATCTAAGACCTGTTCAATTACATACAAAAAGGAGTCTGAAATGTTATTGATATGTTTCTTTAAATTTTATTTAAATTTAATAATGAACTGACATATTTAAGGTCTATTTTAAAGAAACGGAATAGCTATGTAACAGATTATATTTTAATATAGAACATGTTTTGTATGAACTAAAGTCGTAGAATAAGTTTAACAAAAAACAGTGTGACATTTAAAGACAATACGGTAGTTTCCAACTAGTCAAATTCAATACTTTTATCCCAACGTCAAAAACGATACTTTACTATGAAGTTTGTTGGAAACTGGAAATTATTACGTCATGGTATTTTTGCGTCAAATAGCTTATATAATTTTTTTATAAAAAAAATGTGTATTGACAGATTGATGAATAAAAACATAATTATTTTTTTAAATATTTTATTGTATTAAGACGTCGAATTAATTTACTGTTGACCAAGGAGGAAACTACTCAATTAAAAACGGAACATTACAATAGGATATCAAAACATACTATTCACGAAGAAATTAATCTAATTTAAGAGTATTGTTCTCCCAGAAATCCGGATCGCCAGTCAGCAAACGCATGCGTAGGTCAAGAGTCCTATAAAAACGTTACATTCAAAATTAAATAACAACCAATGACAAAACTATTATAAAATTAGAAAAGGGATATTCTGTCTGTGGACCATAGACAGAACTTGTATTTGTTTTAACACCTAGTATTTTAAGTTTTGTTTTGTTTTTCTTTTTTTTCCTGTAATAATTACCTTTCGCTTTATATATTAATGTTTTTGTTGTAGTTTTCCAGTTCATGTATGTTCTGAGCAAATAAATGGTTTTTTCTTTCTTCTTTCTTTCAAAAGATGCTCATACATTTTTGACAA